CATACTATGTTCACTACATACTATGTTCACTACATACTATGTTCACTACATACTACGTTCACTACATACTATGTTCACTACATACTATGTTCACTACATACTATGTTCACTACATACTATGTTCACTACATACTATGTTCACTACATACTACGTTCACTACATACTACGTTCACTACATACTACGTTCACTACATACTATGTTCACTACATACTATGTTCACTACATACTATGTTCACTACATACTATGTTCACTACATACTATGTTCACTACATACTATGTTCACTACATACTATGTTCACTACATACTACGTTCACTACATACTATGTTCACTACATACTATGTTCACTACATACTATGTTCACTACATACTATGTTCACTACATACTATGTTCACTACATACTATGTTCACTACATACAATTTTCACTACATACAATTTTCACTACATACAATTTTCACTACATACTATGTTCACTACATACTATCTTCACTGAATGCATTATTGTCATTGTCATAACCATCTTCACTACTCATTATCTCCATCACTGTTTTCCGAATTAATTCAGTTCATTGTTTTCAAGTGCATCATGAAATGTGCGGGTAAACGGCGGGAGTAGCTTCAAAACACTGGAAAACACATCTTTGATTTCATTTCAGACTTCATGAAATGGGTGGGAAGGGGGGCGGGGGGCTAAAGGGCCTTTATATTTTGTAAAGTGTGGCACTGGAGCTGGCCACGATGAGCCTATGTCTACACCCTACCCAAGACCATTCCCCCCTCAAAGTTGAGTGAGACTAGCCCCAAGCATCTATGAAGATATTACTCATACATGATTAAACCATGTTATATTATCCCAAATCTTTCTTGCACACCCCTTAGCATGCTCCAGGAATGTTCTCACTAATGAACAAATTCACAAGGGCCGTGACGAGGATTCGAACCAACGTCCGAGATCATCCCAGACGCTGCCTTTATCGACTGAGTCTGGGATGCTCCCGGACGTAGGTTCGAATCCTCGTCACGGCCCTTGTAGATTTGTTCATTTGATGCATCACACTATTGTGATTTCTGTGTGCAATATTCTCACTTCTTGAAGGAACAAAACGCAGTACCACTATTGTATTGTAAATATTACTAGTTCCACAGCCACTGCTGTCTCTCACTTTACCACAATACACTTAACGCTGTGCAGCTCTGTTGCTAAGACGAATTAAAATATGATTAGGGTTGTGAGTATGTGAGTAAGTAGGCTTTTGAGGGGATGATTGATAACAAATTAAGCCACCCAAGAGGTGGCACGGGCATGAGTAGCCCGTAAATGTTGTGAGGGAGTGTGTGAGTGTTATGAGGGAAGGAGTGAGGTAAGGTGAGGGGGCCTAGAGGGCAGGTAGACACTCACTGACCAAAGGCTCACCCCGAGGGAGGGAGGCTAGTGACAAAGTGAGAGGGAATCATAGCAAGAGAGAGAGAAGAGAGAGAGAGAGGGAGAGGGAGGGAGGGAGGGGGGGGCGTGAGGTAGAGGGAGGGAGAGAGAAGCAGGAGGGAGGGGAAGTGATGGCTGCCGTTGCAGGAGGCTTTTGTCAGCAGACTAAGTTAGGGGAATCGGTATATCGCGCACTCCATAACACGCCGGATGTCTGGTAAACTTGGGGCAGGCACTGTGGGGCAAGGGGAGGATGGGGGAGGCGCTGTGGGGCAAGGGAATGATGGGGGAGGCGCTGTGGGGCAAGGGAAGGATGGGGGAGGCGCTGTGGGGCAAGGGAATGATGGGGGAGGCGCTGTGGGGCAAGGGAAGGATGGGGGAGGCGCTGTGGGGCAAGGGAAGGATGGGGGAGGCGCTGTGGGGCAAGGGAAGGATGGGGGAGGCGCTGTGGGGCAAGGGGAGGATGGGGGAGGCGCTGTGGGGCAAGGGAAGGATGGGGGAGGCGCTGTGGGGCAAGGGAAGGATGGGGGAGGCGCTGTGAGGCAAGGGGAGGATGGGGGAGGCGCTGTGGGGCAAGGGGAGGATGGGGGAGGCGCTGTGGGGCAAGGGAAGGATGGGGGAGGCGCTGTGGGGCAAGGGGAGGATGGGGGAGGCGCTGTGGGGCAAGGGAAGGATGGGGCAGGCGCTGTGGGGCAAGGGAAGCATGGGGGAGGCGCTGTGGGGGCAAGGGAAGGATGGGGGAGGCGCTGTGGGGCAAGGGGAGGATGGGGGAGGCGCTGTGGGGCAAGGGAAGGATGGGGCAGGCGCTGTGGGGGCAAGGGAAGGATGGGGCAGGCGCTGTGGGGGCAAGGGAAGGATGGGGGAGGCGCTGTGGGGCAAGGGGAGGATGGGGGAGGCGCTGTGGGGCAAGGGAAGGATGGGGGAGGCGCTGTGGGGCAAGGGAAGGATGGGGGCGGGGTAATGGGGCAACCCGCCCTCCTAATAGAACGTCGCATTTCGACGTATACTCCACCTAAGTCCCAACAATCGTCGTACTAGAAAATGGAAGCGGCTCGCGAAATTAACCTACTGTCCCGTTTTCTATTTTGGGTCCTCTGGTAGGTTAGGATAAGGGCACTTTAGCACGACAGTTTCTTGACGTTGGGGAACCTTAGACGGGCTGGTTTTGTGAGGGAGTGAGGAGGGCTGAGGGAGGGAGAGAGGGAGGGAGGTAGAGAGGGAGAGAGGGAGGGAGGTAGAGAGGAGAGAGGGAGGGAGGTAGAGAGGGAGAGAGGGAGGGAGGTAGAGAGGGAGAGAGGGAGGGAGGTAGAGAGGGAGAGAGGGAGGGAGGTAGAGAGGGAGAGAGGGAGGGAGGTAGAGAGGGAGGGAGGGGGAGAGAGGGAGAGAGGGAGGGAGGGAGGGAGATGGAGTGTCAGAGGGCGGGTCTGGAGTAAGGGAGGTGGGGGGCGGGATAGCTGGAAGTTGACCTGCCTCATCTAGTATATTTGTGGAGCAACAAATCACCCAACTATTCAATGGGTGTATTGAAGACAGACCCAAACAAGGCGGAGAGAATTGGCCTTAAGTCAGGGGGCCAGATAAGGCTTCACGTCACCACGTATTTGGTCGTGATCTATCCCCTATTTAATCACGATTATCGGCTTTATATTTTTTTGTCTCCAGCTCTTCTCTTTCTCTCTCTCTATCTCTTTCTCACGTCGTTTATTCGGCTATCTTTCCACCTCATATCTTAGCTTATTTTTGTCCGTGTTTTCATCGTTCTTTTCTAAATTAAGAGGCTTAGTTCTAGGAGTTTGTTGGTGGGGGGACGTACCTCAGAGTGCCTACGGGGGTGGAGCTCTAGCTCTTCATACCCCGCCTTCTGGTATTGTGTGTGTCTCTTGCATTACAACTTAACTATTTTGACGTTCCAATTCTTGTTTGGGTCTGGTGTTAAAGCTGTGGATGGAGGTGGCTTCCACAACTTATGCCACTGCATTCCACTAGTTGGTCACCTGTACAGGGTTCGAGTACTTCCTCAAGTCTCTTGTTCAATTGTTTGTGTTTTCGGCTTCCACTTGTGTCCTCTTGTCTTAATTTCTCACAATTTGAAGAGACTATCCTTGTAGACCTTGTAGATGTAGGACTATCCTTGTAGACCTTGTAGATGTAGGACTATCCTTGTAGACCTTGTAGATGTAGGACTATCCTTGTAGACCTTGTAGATGTAGGACTATCCTTGTAGACCTTGTAGATGTAGGACTATCCTTGTAGACCTTGTAGATGTAGGACTATCCTTGTAGACCTTGTAGATGTAGGACTATCCTTGTAGACCTTGTAGATGTAGGACTATCCTTGTAGACCTTGTAGATGTAGGACTATCCTTGTAGACCTTGTAGATGTAGGACTATCCTTGTAGACCTTGTAGATGTAGGACTATCCTTGTAGACCTTGTAGATGTAGGACTATCCTTGTAGACCTTGTAGATGTAGGACTATCCTTGTAGACCTTGTAGATGTAGGACTATCCTTGTAGACCTTGTAGATGTAGGACTATCCTTGTAGACCTAAGACCTGATAGTCTTATTAGACTATCCTTTAATAAGGTCTATTAAACGATATCAAACTTAGCGATATCTTCATTACCTTACACTTGCTGGGACTGAATTCCAACAACCATTTGACTACTGGAGTTTGTAATGGTTTTATTACTTCCAGCAACTCTCCTCTGTGTTTACATTCATCAGCTTTGCGTCTGTGCAAGTACCAACATGTACGAACTCACTCTGTTTGGTAGGTCGTTCGCATCAATTAGGAACAGCAGTGGTCCCAGGATAGAGCCTTGTGGGACCCGGCTTGTTACACTTCTCCAGCTTCAGACCTCCTCTCTCACTGTGACACTGTGCTTTCTGTCCATGGTGATGGTGTTGATGATGGTAATAGTGATATGGTGACATCATTAATGGTTGCAACGATGGTGGTAATAACAGAGAAGTTGATAATAGAATTTTGTTGTGAATTTGTTGATTGTAGTGATAAGTGATTGTAATGATAACAGTGAATGTGATGATAACATGGATTGTGATGATGAAAAGTGTTGGTGATGAATTTAAGAGTACAGTTGATGTAGATTAGTGTTGATAATATTGATGATTCTCTCTCTCTCTCTCTCTCTCTCTCTCTCTCTCTCTCTCTCTCTCTCTCTCTCTCTCTCTCTCTCTCTCTCTCTCTCTCTCTCTCTCTCTCTCTCTCTCTCTCTCTCTCTCTCTCTCTCTCTCTCTCTCTCTCTCTCTCTCTCTCAGCCTTCTCTCTCTCTCTCTCTCTCCTCTCTCTCTCTCTCTTCTCTCTCCCTCTCTCTTGTCTCTCCCTCATTCTCTTCTCTCTCTCTCATTAAGCTCTTCCCTCTCCCACATTAAGCTCTTGCCTCTCTCTCTCTCTCTTCTCTCTCTCTCATTAAGCTCTTCTCTGCTCCCTCTCTCTGCCTCGCTCTCTCTCTCTAAGCTCTCTCTCTCTCTCCCACATTCCCCCCCCACTCCCACATTCTCAGCTTGCCTCGCTCCCAGATTAACACATGCCCCGCTCCCACATTAAGCGCTTAATCCTGCTCCCACATTAAGCGCTTGCCTCGCTCCCACATTAAGCGCTTGCCTCGCTCCCACATTAAGCGCTTGCCTCGCTCCCACATTAAGCGCTTGCCCCGCTCCCACATTAAGCGCTTGTCCAGCTCCCACATTAAGTGCTTGCCTCGCTCCCACATTAAGCGCTTGTCCTGCTCCCACATTAAGCGCTTGCCCCGCTCCCACATTAAGCGCTTGTCCTGCTCCCACATTAAGTGCTTGCCTCGCTCCCACATTAAGCGCTTGCCTCGCTCCCACATTAAGCGCTTGCCCCGCTCCCACATTAAGCGCTTGCCCCGCTCCCACATTAAGCGCTTGCCCCGCTCCCACATTAAGCGCTTGTCCTGCTCCCACATTAAGCGCTTGCCCCGCTCCCACATTAAGCGCTTGCCCCGCTCCCACATTAAGCGCTTGCCTCGCTCCCACATTAAGCGCTTGCCTCGCTCCCACATTAAGCGCTCCCACATTAAGCGCTTGCCCCGCTCCCACATTAAGCGCTTGCCCTGCTCCCACATTAAGCGCTTGCCCCGCTCCCACATTAAGCGCTTGCCCCGCTCCCACATTAAGCGCTTGCCCTGCTCCCACATTAAGCGCTTGCCCCGCTCCCACATTAAGCGCTTGCATTAAGCCCGCTCCCACATTAAGCGCTTGTCCTGCTCCCACATTAAGCTTGTCCTGCTCCCACATTAAGCGCTTGCCCCGCTCCCACATTAAGCGCTTGCCCTGCTCCCACATTAAGCGCTTGTCCTGCTCCCACATTAAGCGCTTGTCCTGCTCCCACATTAAGCGCTTGCCCCGCTCCCACATTAAGCGCTTGTCCTGCTCCCACATTAAGCGCTTGTCCTGCTCCCACATTAAGCGCTTGTCCTGCTCCCACATTAAGCGCTTGTCCTGCTCCCACATTAAGCGCTTGTCCCGCTCCCACATTAAGCGCTTGCCCCGCTTCCACATTAAGCGCTTGTCCTGCTCCCACATTAAGCGCTTGCCCTGCTCCCACATTAAGCGCTTGCCCTGCTCCCACATTAAGCGCTTGTCCTGCTCCCACATTAAGCGCTTGTCCTGCTCCCACATTAAGCGCTTGCCCCGCTCCCACATTAAGCGCTTGTCCTGCTCCCACATTAAGCGCTTGTCCAGCTCCCACATTAAGCGCTTGTCCTGCTCCCACATTAAGCACTTGCCCCGCTCCCACATTAAGCGCTTGTCCTGCTCCCACATTAAGCTCCCACGCTTGTCCTGCTCCCACATTAAGCGCTTGTCCTGCTCCCACATTAAGCGCTTGCCCCGCTCCCACATTAAGAGCTTGTCCTGCTCCCACATTAAGCGCTTGCCCTGCTCCCACATTAAGCGCTTGCGCTTGCCCTGCTCCCACCTGAGCTTCCTGCCCACATTAAGCGCTTGCCCTGCTCCCACATTAAGAGCTTGTCCTGCTCCCACATTAAGCGCTTGCCCCGCCCCCACATTAAGAGCTTGTCCTGCTCCCACATTAAGCGCTTGTCCTGCTCCCACATTAAGCGCTTGTCCTGCTCCCACATTAAGCGCTTGTCCTGCTCCCACATGAAGCGCTTGTCCTGCTCCCACATTAAGCGCTTGCCCCGCTCCCACATTAAGCGCTTGCCCCGCTCCCACATTAAGCGCTTGTCCTGCTCCCACATTAAGCGCTTGCCCCGCTCCCACATTAAGCGCCCGCTCCCACATTAAGCGCTTGTCCTGCTCCCACATTAAGCGCTTGCTCCCACATTAAGAGCTTGTCCTGCTCCCACATTAAGCGCTTGCCCTGCTCCCCCGCTCCCACATTAAGCGCTTGTCCTGCTCCCACATTAAGCGCTTGCCCCGCTCCCACATTAAGAGCTTGTCCGCTCCCACATTAAGCGCTTGCCCCGCTGCTCCCACATTAAGAGCCTGCTCCCACATTAAGCGCTTGCCCTGCTCCCACATTAAGCGCTTGCCCTGCTCCCACATTAAGCGCTTGTCCTGCTCCCACATTAAGTGCTTGTCCTGCTCCCACATTAAGCGCTTGTCCTGCTCCCACATTAAGAGCTTGTCCTGCTCCCACATTAAGTGCTTGTCCTGCTCCCACATTAAGCGCTTGTCCTGCTCCCACATTAAGTGCTTGTCCTGTCCTGCTCCCACATTAAGCGCTTGCCCCTTGTCCTGCTCCCACATTAAGCGCTTGCTCCCACATTAAGTGCCCTGCTCCCACATTAAGCGCTTGTCCCGCTCCCACATTAAGCGCTTGCCCTGCTCCCACATTAAGTGCTTGTCCTGCTCCTACATTAAGCGCTTGCTCCCACATTGCATTAAGCGCTTGTCCTGCCCACATTAAGCGCTTGTCCAGCTCCCACAGCGCTTGCCCCGCTCCCACATTAAGCGCTTGTCCTGCTCCCACATTAAGCACATTAAGAGCTTGTCCTGCATTAAGCGCTTGCCCTGCTCCCACATTAAGAGCCCGCTCCCACATTAAGCGCTTGTCCAGCTCCCACATTAAGCGCTTGTCCTGCTCCCACATTAAGCGCTTGTCCTGCTCCCACATTAAGCACTTGCCCCGCTCCCACATTAAGCGCTTGTCCAGCTCCCACATTAAGCGCTTGTCCTGCTCCCACATTAAGCGCTTGTCCTGCTCCCACATTAAGTGCTTGTCCTGCTCCCACATTAAGCCCCGCTCCCACATTAAGCCCTGCTCCCACTAAGTGTGTCCTGCTCCCACATTAAGCGCTTGTCCTGCTCCCACATTAAGCGCTTGTCCTGCTCCCACATTAAGCGCTTGTCCTGCTCCCACATTAAGCACTTGTCCTGCTCCCATGCTGTGGTAGTGCTTCTAAGTGTTTTATCCTCGCCTGGTCTTAATTAAGGACGTTGTTTTCATTCTTAAAAGCTTGCTAAGTATGTGGGGCTTATACGTGTGTATTATCATACATTATGTATTGTGTATTGTGTATTGTGTAACCTGTATTATCATAGATTATGTACTGTGAAACTTGTATTATCATACATTATGTATTATATAGTATAATGTATGATAATACGAGCTAATAATAGCGATATTATTGGCTCGCTTAACGATATTATTGGCTCGCTTAACGATATTATTGGCTCGCTTAACGATATTATTGGCTCGCTTAACGATATTATCGGCTCGCTTAACGATATTATTGGCTCGCTTAACGATATTATTGGCTCGCTTAACGATATTATTGGCTCGCTTAACGATATTATTGGCTCGCTTAACGATATTATTGGCTCGCTTAACGATAATATTGGCTCGTTTAACGATATTATTGGCTCGTTTAACAATATTATTGGCTCGCTTAACGTAGCTCGCTCAATGATATTATTGTCTCCCTCAACGATTAACGCTTGAGAGCTTGACGATAAGTGCTCGCGAGCTAATATTGTTAGCTCGCTCAACGATGTTATTGGCCCGCTTAACGATAATATTGTCTAACTTAACGATATTATTGGCTCACTTAACGATATTATTTGGCACGCTTAACGATATTATTGGCCCTCTTAACGATATTATTGGCCCTCTTAACGATATTATTGGCCCTCTTAACGATATTATTGGCCCTCTTAACGATATTATTGGCCCTCTTAACGATATATTGGCCCTCTTAACGATATTATTGGCCCTCTTAACGATATTATTGGCTCGCTTAACGATATTATTGGCTCGCTTAACGATATTATTGGCTCGCTTAACGATATTATTGGCCCTCTTAACGATATTATTGGCCCTCTTAACGATATTATTGGCCCTCTTAACGATATTATTGGCCCTCTTAACGATATTATTGGCCCTCTTAACGATATTATTGGCCCTCTTAACGATATTATTGGCTCGCTTAACGATATTATTGGCTCGCTTAACGATATTATTGGCCCTCTTAACGATATTATTGGCTCGCTTAACGATATTATTGGCTCACTTAACGATATTATTGGCTCACTTAACGATATTATTGGCCCTCTTAACGATATTATTGGCCCTCTTAACGATATTATTGGCTCACTTAACGATATTATTGGCTCACTTAACGATATTATTGGCTCACTTAACGATATTATTGGCTCACTTAACGATATTATTGGCTTGCTTAACGATATTATTGGCTCACTTAACGATATTATTGGCTCGCTTAACGATATTATTGGCTCGCTTGACGATACCAGTGGCTCACTTAACTATATAAGTGCCTCCCTTAACAATATAAGTGGCTCACTTAACGATATAAGTAGCTCACTTAAATAATATAAATGCTCACGTAGAGATACCCATTAAGGATATAAGTGCCCACGTAAGAATATAACGGCCTCCTAAATTATTTAAGTACTCGCTGACGAAATATATGCTCGCTTAATGACATAAGTGTACTCGTATTGTTGAGAGTGTACAAATATATCATGAAAAGTGCATGCTTAACAATACAAGTCCGTACTTAACGATATAAATGCATACTTAACGATATAAATGCATACTTAACGATATAAATGCATACTTAACGATATAAATGCATACTTAACGATATAAATACATACTTAACGACCTAAATACACACTTAACGACATAAATACACACTTAAGGATAAAAGTGTGCACTGCTACAAGGGTCTTCTTCTCACCGACGTGATGAGCTAAGTCAACCCAAGAATTTCACACTAAAACACACTTAAGAATGATGAGTAATCTCCCTCAGCACGCGATGAATCCCAAGACCGTGGAAGGATGCTGCTTCTCGCTTCATCTCTTTGGGGCGCAGCATCATCCGCCAGGATGGGGGGGGGGGGGTTATCAGGGGAAAGCGCCAAGCCATTATGGCTTAATAGCCCTTGGAAGGGCTCAGGATAAGGATTTGGAATGGGACGGGGGGAAAGAATGGCGCCTAGTCACTTATGGACGGTCGGGGATTGAACGCAGACCTGCATGAAGGCATCTGCCAGGAATGTGAACCTTGTCAGCACATATTATCCTCCTAGATCGCCGCGTGGAAGTAGCTTAAGTAAGTTTTACTCCATTTGCTTGAATAATGTACAGGACGAACAACCCAGCGGGTTTTCTTCCTGTTGGGGAGTGTTGTACATGCTGCTATGGTGGTGTGTCCACTCACAGGATGAGTGGCGCTGCCCAATACTGTTACTATGGTGGTGTGTCCACTCACAGGATGAGTGGCGCTGCCCAATACTGTCACTATGGTGGTGTGTCCACTCACAGGATGAGTGGCGCTGCCCAATACTGTCACTATGGTGGTGTGTCCACTCACAGGATGAGTGGCGCTGCCCAATACTGTCACTATGGCGGTGTGTCCACTCACAGGATGAGTGGCGCTGCCCAATACTGTCACTATGGTGGTGTGTCCACTCACAGGATGAGTGGCGCTGCCCAATACTGTCACTATGGCGGTGTGTCCACTCACAGGATGAGTGACGCTGCCCAATACTGTCACTATGGCGGTGTGTCCACTCACAGGATGAGTGGCGCTGCCCAATACTGTCACTATGGCGGTGTGTCCACTCACAGGATGAGTGGCGCTGCCCAATACTGTCACTATGGCGGTGTGTCCACTCACAAGATGAGTGGCGCTGCCCAATACTGTCACTATGGCGGTGTGTCCACTCACAGGATGAGTGGCGCTGCCCAATACTGTCACTATGGCGGTGTGTCCACTCACAGGATGAGTGACGCTGCCCAATACTGTCACTATGGCGGTGTGTTCACTCACAGGATGAGTGGCGCTGCCCAATACTGTCACTATGGCGGTGTGTCCACTCACAGGATGAGTGGCGCTGTCCAATACTGTCACTATGGCGGTGTGTCCACTCACAAGATGAGTGGCGCTGCCCAATACTGTCACTATGGCGGTGTGTCCACTCACAAGATGAGTGGCGCTGCCCAATACTGTCACTATGGCGGTGTGTCCACTCACAAGATGAGTGGCGCTGCCCAATACTGTCACTATGGCGGTGTGTTCACTCACAGGATGAGTGGCGCTGCCCAATACTGTCACTATGGCGGTGTGTTCACTCACAGGATGAGTGACGCTGCCCAATACTGTCACTATGGCGGTGTGTCCACTCACAGGATGAGTGGCGCTGCCCAATACTGTCACTATGGAGGTGTGTCCACTCACAAGATGAGTGACGCTGCCCAATACTGTCACTATGGCGGTGTGTTCACTCACAGGATGAGTGACGCTGCCCAATACTGTCACTATGGCGGTGTGTCCACTCACAGGACGAGTGACGCTGCCCAATACTGTCACTATGGCGGTGTGTCCACTCACAGGATGAGTGCCGCTGCCCAATACTGTCACTATGGCGGTGTGTCCACTCACAGGATGAGTGACGCTGCCCAATACTGTCACTATGGTGGTGTGTCCACTCACAGGATGAGTGGCGCTGCCCAATACTGTCACTATGGCGGTGTGTCCACTCACAGGATGAGTGCCGCTGCCCAATACTGTCACTATGGCGGTGTGTCCACTCACAGGATGAGTGGCGCTGCAAAAATACTGTCACTATGGTGGTGTGTTCACTCACAGGATGAGTGACGCTGCCCAATACTGTCACTATGGCGGTGTGTCCACTCACAGGATGAGTGGCGCTGCCCAATACTGTCACTATGGCGGTGTGTCCACTCACAGGATGAGTGACGCTGCCCAATACTGTCACTATGGCGGTGTGTCCACTCACAGAATGAGTGACGCTGCCCAATACTGTCACTAT